GGTGCTGTGTGTGTCTGCGTGTGTCTGGGGGTGCTATGTGTGTCTGGGGGTGCTGTGTGTGTCTGAGGGTGATGTGTGTGTCTGAGGGTGCTGTGTTTGGGTGCTGTGTTTGGGTGCTGTGTGTGTCTGAGTGTGCTGTGTGTGTCTGGGGGTGCTGTGTGTGTCTGGATGCTGTGTGTGTCTGAGGGTGCTGTGTGTGTCTGGGGGTGCTGTGTGTGTCTGGGGGATGCTGTGTGTGTCTGGGGGGTGCTGTGTCTGGGGGCTGTGTGTGTCTGGGGTGCTGTGTGTGTCTGGGGGTGCTGTGTGTGTCTGGGGTGCTGTGCGTGTCTGTCTGGGTGCTGTGTGTGTCTGGGTGCTGTGTGTGTCTGGGGGTGCTGTGTGTGTCTGAGGGTGCTGTGTGTGGGTGCTGTGTGTGTCTGAGGGTGCTGTGTGTGTCTCGGTGCTGTGTGTGTCTGGGGGTGCTGTGTGTGTCTGGGTGCTGTGTGTGTCTGAGGGTGCTGTGTGTGTCTGGGTGCTGTGTGTGTCTGAGGGTGCTGTGTGTGTCTGGGTGCTGTGTGTGTCTACTCTATTACGTGTCACAAGGACTTACAGTGCATCCATTTTTTTCCAGGGCTGCTTTGAATTCCCAGTCCGGCCCTGGTTGACAATCAGGGGTGGACTCTATAATAAGTCTTTTTCAGACATGAATATTGTTCTCTTAAAATCTGATAAGGATTCTGAAGTGTGTAACAGCTTTCGACCGATTTTTCTTTTAAAACGTGTCAAAAGTTCTAGCCATGAACATTGCTGCCTGGTCTCATATGCTCAGATCAGACGGGAGTCACCCTGGTTAGAGAAACCAAGGATAGCACACTCTGCGTCTTTACACTACAGCCCCTGGCCTGCCTGGCCACAGGTACCGAGAAGGTGTTCGACCATGTCAACTGGGCCTTTATGTTTGCCACTCTTAAAGTGATGGGATTTGGTGATAAATTAATTAGCTAATGGATTAATGGATTGATGCACTGTACAGTCACCCAAGTGCTAGGGTATGGGTCAATGGGGCATTGACTGAGAGTTTTCCAATCCTTACAGGTACAAGACAGGGATGCCCCGTCTAGTATCTGTTGTTTGCTATCTCCCTTGAACCATTTTTAATTGCGACCTGCTGAAATCAAAACATCTCAGGTTATGAATGGAAAGGTATGCAACATAAGCTGGCAGCTTATGCGGACGAGCTTCTCATTTTAACCCCTAAGTGGCTAACAAAAGAGTTTACTAGTGATGGCGAATTGTCAGGTCTTGAGTTAAATCTTTCAAAATATGTCTTGAATGAGACTGAGTTTAAAGCTCTTCAGTCTCAGTTTTCATTGTGACAGTGGCCTAAACATATGAAATACCTGGGGGGGTGACGCAGGATCTGGCTGAACTTTACCAATACAACTTCAAACTCTCATTACAAAAAATTAAAATGGGCCTCAAACAGTGGTCATATCCAGTAGTGGGATTAAAAAAATTTAGTAACTAGTGTCGACTAAGACATTGTGCTGCCTGGGACCAAAACTCCATCCCCCATAGTCATTCAAGCACACACACACAAGCACATTGACACAGTCACACATATATACCCTGGGGGAAAGGGAATGCTATTAATGCAGTAAATGCAAAAATCTTGTATATCATACCAATGAGCAGTAAATGCGTAAACTTGGTATATCATGCCAATGAGCAGTAAATGCATAAACTTTGTATATCATGCCAATGAGCAGTAAATACTAAATTTAGGTATACCATAACAATGAGCAATAAATGCATAAACTTGATGTGTCATGTCAATGAGCAGTGAATGCGTAAACTTGGTATATTATGTCAATTAACATTTAATGCATAAACTTGGCATATCATGCCAATGAAGCTATAAATATATAAACTAGGTATGTCATGCCAATGAGAAGTAAATACATTAATGCTGAATATCATGCCAATGAGCAGTAAATTCTTAAACTTTGTATATCATGCCAATGAGCCCCATGTTCCACCAAAAAGTCTACTAGTGTCATGTGCCCCCAAACAACCTACCAGTGCCATCTCTCTACCAGCAGCCTCCCTGTACCATATCCCTGCCCTTAGCCTCACTCTGTCAACTCTCTGCCACCAGCCTCTCTGTGCCATATCTCTGCCCTTAGCCTCTCTGTGCCATGTCTCTGCCTCCAGTGAGGGAAACAGTGTGTGTATGGGAGGGTGACAGTGTGTGTGGGATGATGACAATGTGTGTGGGATTCGGACGGTGTGTGTGGGATGGTGACTGTGTGGGGATAGTGACAGTGAGTGTGGGAGGGTGACGGTGTATGTGGGATGGTAACGGTGTGTGTGGGATGGTGATGGTGTGTGTGATGGTGACTGTGTGGAGATAGTGACAGTGTGGGGGGATGGTGACAATGTGGGAGGTGGTGACAGTGTGGGGATGATGACAATTTAAGGGGGTGTGGGAGGTTGTGACAGTGGGGGATAGTGTGTGGAGAAGGTGAAAGAGGGGAGTAGTGTGTAGGGAAGGTGACAGTGGGGGAGAGGTAGTGTGTGGGGAAGGGGACAGTGGGGGGAGGTAGTGTGTGGAGAAGGTGAAAGTGGGGGGCAGGTTGTGTGTGAGGAAGGTGACACTGGTGGGAAGGTAATGTGTGGGGAAGATGACAGTAGGTGGATGTAGTGTGTGGGGAAGGTGACAGTGGGGGTGGATTGTAATGTGTGGGAAAGGTGACAGTGGGGGGGTAGTGTTTGGGGAAGGTGACAGTGGGGTGGGAGGTAGTGTGTGGGGAAGGTGCCCTGTATGCCGCCGGGTGCGGGGCCCCTCCATGTAGTCTCTCAGAGCCTCCCTGTTGGCAGATCCACCAGGTGGATCCACCAGAGCTGCAGACAGAAAGGCTCTAAGAGACTACATGGAGGGGCCCCGCATCTGGCGGCATACAGGGCAAGCCGGCAGTCATGGACCGAGGAGCTGACACTTCAGTCAGCCTTGTTAACAACCGGTTTGGCGAACTTGTTAAATTTTAATAACAGGTTTGTGCGAACTGGTGTGAACCGACTGAATCCCACCACTACTCATATCTGCACCTATCTTGGCTAGCCATGTAGCAGTTCTCAAAACGTTTTGCACCCTCCTGCAAATCCAGATCCATCTGTATACTGCTTTCCAGACAAACGGTCAAACAGAGAGGACTAATCAGACACTAGAACAATACCTCAGATGCAATACCGCTCACTTGCAAAACAACTGGTATGAACTCCTACTCACAGAGTTCGCCTAAAATACTCATCTACATACTTCTCATCATATGTCTCCTTTTACTTGTGAATTACGTGTTTAACCCAGTCATGCTTCCTTATCAGCCAGTCTATCGTCCTTTGCCTGACGTTTACTCGTGACGTTCAAAAAGGTTTTCTATGTGCCGGATCTATCTTGCAGGAGACACAAAATAAATATAAAGTCTATGCCTGCTTATCAAGTGGGACAGAAGGTGTGGTTATCAACTAAACATCTCAAACTGTCCTGTCCTAGTAAGAAGCTAGGACCGAAGTTCATCACATAGAAATCATCTTCTTTCCGGTGAAATTAAGATTTCAATTGCCATCCTCTCTACGCATTCATCCTGTCTGCTGTGTGTCATTATTGAAACCTCACGTACCTACCAGAATACGAGGTGGAAGAGATCCTTGATTTCCAAATCCACCATAGCTGTCTTCCATATCCCATACATTGAATAGGATATGGCCTGGAACTATGGTCATTGGAGCCTTCCGTCCATGTTCATGCACCTCGCTTGGTATGGTCCTTTCATCTAAACCATCCACAGGATGTGTTTTAGGAGGGAGGTATTGTCACAACTTACCTTTGCTCAATCACTGCTCCAGCAGAAAAATACACAGGTCGCAGCTGCCGAAACGAGCGAAAACAAGGGGTGAGACCCTCAAAATGTTTCATAGTTCTCTCTGAAAAGAGACTTGCGTCCATCAAGTTCAGCCTTCCTCACATATGTTTTTTCTGTTGATCCAAAAGAAGGCAAAAACCCTAGTCTGTAGCGCTTCCAATTTTGCAACAAACTAGGAAAAAAATCATTCTTGACCCCAAAATAGCAGTCAGATGTCTCCTTGGATCAAGCAGCTATTACCCCACTAATTAGAAATTATTTCCTGTGTGTTCTTGTATTATTTCAATTAAATGATCAGTAATAGATTACAAGCAATGGACATGAACTTAATTTACTTGCCTGTTATTCTGCCAGGTTACTTTCAGCTCTGTCTTTGTGTAGCCACAGATACCACAAATCATCTTTCAAGAACAACATTTTAACTTGCACAGCTGATTATTCTACTCTGCCACAGTGAAATTCATATGTACTCAACTTGCCATTTTCTTAAATATTCTCCTAGCACTTGCACTTAAAGCAACACAACTTGCTTTCTGCTGGTTGTAAATGTATTCAGTGTATACTGAGGCCATAACCTGTTTTAGTTAAGTTTGCTGAAATTATTGTGGCAGGGTTAACTCACAACAGTACGCTTAACTGGTATAGAGAAGCACACGGTCAAACATCTGGTAGCTTCATCTTTGTCCCCCTATTTTGGCAATATTCTAGATTGGTTCTTACCTGCTGTCAAATAATTAGTTTGAATAAAATGTCGCTTTGTTACTTCCTTTGTGTTTAGGTGTTCATCATCAAGTGCTTCTAACTCTCATTAAATTATTCAGATTGTAATTGGTCCCCTGAGACCTACAAATTGGATTTTCAGAGCATACAGTGATGCTTATAAGAGACCCATACATACACGGTCACCCAGGAAAATAGTTGTATTCATCTGAGAAGACAAAAACAGCTTGCATTTGAAGAATCAAGATTTTCAATGAGCTCTGTCTGTATATTTATACCGTTCTTTGATTGTCCTTCTGGCAAACTGTTCATGTCTTATGTATGTCATTCTTAATTTATTATAAGAAAGTTCAGTGAAAATAATGAGAAACACAACAGAAGTAACAGATTTTCGTCTAACTACTCTGTCAGATAATTCGCAGACACTCTGTATTTTATTTCTTGTTTTCCTTCTGATCTACATGAATACTCTTATAATAAACTCCCTAATTATCATCTTGGTTTTCACAGATCTCCACCTTCACACCCCCATGTACTTCTTTCTTGGAAACCTGGCATTTTTGGACATGTCCTTATCGTCAGTCACTGCACCAAGGATGCTCTCTGACTTCATCACCACAAATAACTCCATATCCTTCCCTGCTTGTATGATGCAAATATTTTTCCTAATATATTTTCTAGCTACAGAGCTTTTGCTGCTGGGTGCCATGTCTTATGACAGATTTGCTGCAATCTCCCACCCTCTACATTACATTCACATCATGTCCTGGAAAGTGTGTTCACAGCTTGCATCTTTGATTTGGGTTTCTGGCTTCTTTTACTCCTTGGTACATACACTTTGTTCTCTGAGACTGACATTCTGTGACTCAAATGTTATCCAAAACTTTTTTTGTGACCTTCCTCACTTATTCCAAATTTCATGTACTGACACTTTCATCAACTTGCTTATCACTGTTACTTTTGGAGGATCCCTGTTACTAGTGGCCTTTGCTATAACTTTTATTCCGTATGCTCGTATTTTCATCACTATTATGAGAATCCGGACAAAAGACGGAAAGCTTAAGGCTTTTTCCACCTGCACATCTCACCTTGCTGTGGTCTCTATTTTCTATGCTTCCCTTATTTTCACTTATTTTGTACCTACCACGTCTCTGGTAGATTTGTACAAGATTGTGTCTGTAGTTTATGCTGTAATTAATCCGTTGCTTAATCCTCTAATTTACAGTGTGAGGAATAAGGATCTTAAGGCAGCTCTGACAAGGGCACTGCGTTACACATCTTTGTTAGGAGGAACCTAGTAAACTGTGATCTCATTCATTGACTATGTTTATGATGTTGTTTGGGTCTTAATTATTTTCTCAAACATATCTATTTCTGGGCACTCCAGGTACCAATACATTTTTAATGCAGTTTGATTAGATTTTGACTTCATTAATATGCTGTCTTTTTTTGCATTCTCAAATCTTTATACCACCATAGGCTTGCCTCCTTAGCCACACCCCCTCATTCCAGAAAAAAGACTTCCTTATCAAAAGCATGTACACAACTCAGCCACAGATAGTACTGAATGTTCTGAACAACAAAGCAACCTGCATTAAAAGGAGAGGACACCCAAGGAGACATATAGGCTGTCTGCAGCCTGGTTGTTAATCAAAAGCAGTTCACTGCTGGGGCTGAGACTGTGTGCATACATAGGGGTATGGCTAAAGAGACAGGTTTATGGTGCACAATTTTGCATGTATTTTTTATTTATTTATTTATTTAAGATTTGAGCATAGAAAAAATAAAGCATATCAATGAGGCCAAAATCTATCAAACTGTATTGGTGCCTGGAGTGTCCCTACATATAAGATAAGATGTATAGTGTGCATGTGTGTTAGTGTGAGCATGTTCATGTGGTTAGCTGCCTCTTTCAAGTACCTATATAATATTTATATACATAAAAAATAAATGTGTATATATTGACAGCTAGGTTTCTTTCTTAATGTGAAATTAATATTAATAAATACATTTAATTTGCTGCTGATCACTACTAAAAACAAAGTATAAAAGGTACATTTGAAGAGCAACATATACATACATATATGTAAATTATTAATTAAGCAAGACATGCACACTATAAAAAAGACATTCACTGTATTTCAGTATTGTACATGTGGTTACATTACTATATTTGAAGTTCCAAAGCTGCCACAGTAAACAACAGTGATGAATCTTTTAACTCTGTACAGTGAGAAGACTCTGAGTGATTGATTGCCAAGAGTAGTATAGGAGATCATCTTATTTAATTGTATATAATTATGTTCTTAACAAAGACCATATAGACAGTTATTGAATGTATGTATGTACATATATATATATATATATATATATATATATATATATATATATATATATATATATTTATATATATAAATATTATAGGGTGCTGTTGGGGCCTATTTTGTAGGACCTGCCAAGAATGGGGTACATTGAGGTTGTGGCAGGCTTATGCAATGTATGATTATATACAACTAAACCCCCATTATTTTCTGCATAGGTGAGGTGTTTTTAAATAAAACTATTACAATCTGTGAGACATTAAATTGCTGTTTAGTGAATGAGCAAGAGCACTGGTACAAAATACGAAAGGGGAAAAGGAGGGTTGGCGCTTAATTACAAGATAAGGCAGCAACTTTAAAAGGGAATCCCTCAAAACCATTAAAACGGAATGGGAAAAGAAAAGAGTAAAAAAGTTGCGCCAGATAAAATAAATAAATAAAAAAGAAACCACAAATAAAAATAGTCCAATATAAAAGAGGAAATCCAGTAAATATAAAATGAGTCTTAGCTGAGTAGATCTTCATTAAGTGAGGTGGTCTATACAATGGTGAATCCGGGACAATGTCCTCACTATCCTTCCTCAGATGGATCCAATATGTAAAGATAAAACAGATGACCAAAATAGTGTAGTATGTTCACTAGGGTATGGCAGACAATATAAAAGAAATAATATAGCATTCACATTTGATAGAGCTAAGCTAGCTCTAGTGTGGAAAGCATACAGCGATTTAGATCCCCGCTTGTAGGATATGGTGCAGCTTTCTTTTTCTTCAAGGGTAGGTGCCACTGAAATAGAATAAAAAGACACAACCAATAGTGCTCTCTGTTTAAAATAAATAGAAATAAAAGATAGTAAAAATGGTACTCACAAGAACGGAGCAGGCTATCTGCTCCTAAGTATTGGCTTAGGTGGAATAATCCCCACCAAGGATTGCTTGGAGTCCAGAAGTCAAAGGTGCCAGGTGGAAGTAGAAAATATTAAATATCTAAAGATGATTGGTACAACCAAAAGAGTGACCAAAAAATCTTTAATAGTTAAAATATACAATATTAATATCCAAAAACGTGTTTCGCCTATAATGGCGTTATCAATATGGAATAAGCAATATATATATATATATATAAAACAGAGCAAACTCTTTTAAAGTAAATATTTAAAATATTTACCATTTATTATTTGAAATAAATGCTAGAGAGAAAAAAATATATCTGTCTGTCAGTGTAATATATAGGAAATGCGCTGTTATGTTGCTCGAGAAGCTTGCATACAATATTAAATACTGGTTTTGTTTCCTCTTTGTTACATTTTATTTTTTCAATCTGTCTATAACCTGAGCTCTGAATTGTTAAAATACAACTGTGAGGACTTTTTCATATAAAGTGGATTTTTTTTTTTCAATTACATTCTACACAATTAATTAATTTTCATCCCTGTTTAGTATATGATATATGGATCTTCACATCAATGCATTATGGCGATCTAGCACTATAAAATAATAATAATTCTTATTGGGAAAGAAATGTGACTATGCATATGTTTGTTGGCAGAGGAGAAGAGTATCATTTTTATTTTATTTTTTTATCGTCAGTTCTTGCAGTAAAATAAATAAATTGATTGTGCTTTGAGCAAAAAAAAGAGAATAATATTTTTTCTATTTCTAACTGTAAGTATGCTTTTTCTTAATCATAACTATCAGATCATAACACACTTGAAGGTAAAGGTTGGCATAGTATTTGTATAGTTTTTTTATTAATGAAATCTGAGTAAATTTCAGCAACTGTCTTTAGAAAACTGACCAGAAAATAGAGATTTTTTTGTTGAGCATCTACCTAATGAAAGTGTGCAAAATATGTATATATTAAGGGTAATCCCTATTTTCTCGAGGTCTCGTCCTAGAAAAATTAATTTGGGGGATATTCTTTTCTTTTTGTTGCGGTTGATCATTTATTCTTTTAGATCTTCGTTTTTTCTCAACCCTTTGATACTGACTACTATAGGAATCCCTCCTCTGTGGATATGTCTTGTCTCTAAATGAAGGGGTTAATATTTTCTTATCCTGTCTTTGTTGAGGATAATCCTTCTTTTTATTTCTATTAGGTGTCACCCTAACTCTATTGTTGGTATAATCATTTAGATCTCTATTAAACTTCTTTTTCTTATTTAATATTACAGAATTCTCAATTTTCTCAATTCTATGGCTGATTTTTTCAGACAGGCTTTCAAAGTCTTTAGTCACAACGAAGAGTTCTAACTTAGTTTTTATCCCCCTAATCATTTCATCTATTTCTAACAGATTATCCTTTCTTTCCTTTATAACAATATTAATCATAGTAATGGAAAAGGATTCTAGGGCTGAGGTCCATATCTTGATAAAAATTCTCCTTTTCACGATTAAAGGTAAGAAATTTCGTGAACCTTAACCCCCTTGGGGTGATTTCCCTTTCAAGATATTTTTCTAGAGTGAAAATCTCCCATTTTATCTTTACTTCTCTTATGAGTCATTTCTCAAGTTGAAACATACTTTCATCCACATTGTCACTTAAAACAATTTCTGGTTCTATTTTATGTTCTTCCCTGCCAAATCTTTCTTGTGCAAATTTTCCCCAATTTTGTCTTTGTTCAAAAATAGACATGTTCCCAAGCAATCCAAACAATATGGTGACAAAAACAAGAACAAATAATACAAATTGTATAGGTGGTGCTCAGGGAAACAAATACACGGTGCTGCTAAGATTACCCGAGTATAGCATCACCACACATACTCAATTGTAACCAAACAACTCAACGTACAGGAACAGAGAGGTGGAGGGCCCTGCTCAATGAGCTTACATGTGACTGTGCGTTTATATTTGTGTATATGAGTTCATGTGCATATATGTATTTGTGTGTGTATGTATAAAGTGTATATATACATGAATACATGTATGTATATGTTAATAGGTATATGTGTAGGTACATGTATTGGTGCTTTTGTGTGGATGTATGTGTAGGTGTGCATGTACATATATTTGGGCATTTGGTTGTATTTATATGTATGTTTATATGTATATTGTATGTACTTGTATATAGTGTGTATACTTGCACATATGCACTACTTGTGTATATGTACATGAGTGTGAGTGTGTACGTGTGTCTGTAAATGCTGGATATAGGCCTTCATGCATATCCTGTAACTCTTGGATGGGAATTTATATATTCTTTATTAAAGCGGCACTTTCATGCCGAACTTACCTTTTCCTCTTCTCTCCCTCTCTCAAGATCTGTTCTTCATTTCTTCCTGTCTGCTCTAGTTTTCTTAAAAACATAAGATAAAGTGGGGATTACCTTGTCTTATGGAGGTTTCCTACGCCTGACCATCTCTGACCAGCGGAGGAGCAAAGTGTGCTCCATTTCCTGTGGTCAGATAAATTTCCCCACAATTCTTACCTTTGATCAGTGATCTCACGATGCTTCCTGTCAGTATTCCTGAACGTCCTGTCACTTAGACAGAATTCTGGCGAAACCACTGAATTTCGTTCTAACAGAATGAGAACAGTTTGTTCATTTATGTTAGGACACAATTTGGGACTTTGTTCGGATCAGAATTTCATTTGAATGAGTGAAATTCCGATCCTATTCATGCCGAGGCTGCATCTTGCAGCCGTTTAGTAGATAACCCCCTAATTCCCACGATATCAGGGAGCTATCTACTAAAAGGCTGAAAGTGTACAAATACTACCTGGTGACTAGGGGACCCCAAGCCCCCCGAGCCCCCACCCATGCTGCGCGAGTGGGTGCTATTAAATTGAAGGGGGACCTATTGCCCCCCCTTGGCCCCACCCATGAGAGGCAGGTGGGGGCCCTAAATGAAAATGTGGGGGACCTATTGTCCTCCCCCCCTGGGCCCCACCCAATAGTGGCAGGTGGGGGTCCTAAATGAAAATGTGGGGGGGACCTATTGTCCTCCCTCCAGCCCCCACCCCTGAGTGGCAGGTGGGGGCACTAAATAACAATAAGGGGGGAACTATTGTCCTCCCCCCAGCCCCCACCCCTGAGCGGCAGGTAGGGGCTCTAAATAACAATAAGGGGGGGACACCTATTGTCCTCCCCTCGGCCTCCACCCCTGAGTGGCGGGTGGGTGCCATAAATAACAATAAGGGGGGGCCTATTGTCCTCCCCCCCGGCCGATAGGTGGGAGCAAAATGTACAAATACACCCCCCTCAGTGACTAGGGGACCCCAAGCCCCTAGTCACCCCCCACCCAAATAAAATTAAATCAATCCCTACCTACCCCCCCACACCTTAAAAATAATGAGGGGGGGAACAATAAAGCTACCTGGAAAAAAAAATCAGACTTACTATTAAAAGGTTTTTTTTCTAATACCTTCTTTTCTCAGCCCCCAAAAAAGGCCAAATAAAAAAAAACATAATACCCGTCGAACTTATCAAATAAAAAAAAAAACCTGAGCGCAAAATAAAAAATCTGCAGGAAAATAAAAAATCTGACGCTAAAAATTAATCCATCTTCACCCATGGAGGGCACGGCGCAGACTGAGCTTCTCAGGGTGGAGAAAGGCTCATAAAGCCTTCCCACACTCTGGACTTGACTCCCCCAGTCCCCACCTAAATAACAAATAGGGTCGGAATCTATTGTCTCACCCCAACCCCCACCCCTGAGCTGCAGGTGTTGGCCCTAAATAACAACAGGGGGGCCCTATTGTCCTTCCCCTGGCCCCCACACCTGAGCGGTGGGTGGGGGGTCTAAATCACTATAAGGGGGGACCTATTGTCCTCCTCCCCTGCCCCCACCCATGGGCGATGGGTGGGAGCAAAGTGTACAAATACACCCCCCCTGGTGACTAGGGGACCCCAAGCCTCCCGAGCCCCCACCCATGCTGCGCAAGTGGGGGCTATTAAACTTAAGGGGGACCTATAGCCCACCTCAGCCCCCACCCATGAGAGGCAGGTGGGGGCACTAAATAACAATAAGGGGGGGAACTATTGTCCTCCCCCCCGGGCCCCACCCAGTAGTGGCAGGTGGGGGTCCTAAATGAAAATGTGAGGGGGACCTATTGTCCTCCCCCCAGTCCCCACCCCTGAGTGGCAGGTGGGGGCACTAAATAACAATAAGGGGGGACCTATTGTCCTCCCCCCAGCCCCCACCACTGAGCGGCAGGTGGGGGCACTAAATAACAATAAGGGGGGACCTATTGTCCTCTCCCCGGCCTCCACCCCTGAGTGGCAGGTGGGTGCCCTAAATAAAAATAAGAGGGGGACCTATTGTCCTCCCCCCCAGCCCCCACCCATGGGCAATAGGTGGGAGGTAAGTGTACAAATACACCCCCCCTCCCCAGTGACTAGGGGACCCCAAACCCCTAGTCACCCCCCACCCAAATAAAATTAAATCAATCCCTACCTACCCCCCCTCACCCTAAAAATAATACTTTACTGAGAGGGTAGTGGATGCATGGAATAGCCTTCCAGCTGAAGTGGTAGAGGTTAACACAGTAAAGGAGTTTAAGCATGCGTGGGAAAGGCATAAGGCTATCCTAACTATAAGATAAGGCCAGGGACTAATGAAAATATTTAGAAAATTGGGCAGACTAGATGGGCCGAATGGTTCTTATCTGCCGTCACATTCTATGTTTCTATGTAGATTCCGGTGCTGCTGGAACATTTATTGACTCAACTCTTGTTTCAAAGAATAAAATTCCTTTTACTCAAAAAAACATTTTGTCTCCCTCAGAGTGGTAGATGGATCTACCATTTATTCTGGTCCTATTAAAAGTGAAACCATTCCGCTAAAGATGACTACTGCAATTAATCACAATGAACATGATATTGTTAAATCACCATTATTTCCCGTCATTCTTGGAATGAATTGGTTAAAACTTCATAACCCTCACATACAATGGTCTCCTATCTCTGTACAGCTCAATTCTAAATTTTGTAAAGAAAATTGTTATCCTCACCTTCCTCTGTTTCAAATTACTGAGGAAACTAGGATGCGTGAACATTATAATGAATTCAAGGATGTCTTCAATAAAACTGAAGCTGAGTCTTTACCTCCCCACTGGGTATACGACTGTCCTATTGATCTTTTTGAAGCTGCTATACATTTTGGGCCTATATATCCACTCTCTGAACCTGAATTAAAGACTCTTAAAAAATACCTTGAAGAAAATTTGCACAAAGGATTCATCAGACCATCTACTTCTCCTGCTGCATCTGCTATATTCTTTGTTAAAAACAAGGACAACACTATTCGTCCCATCATTGAAAACAGAGCATTGAAAAAAATAACTATAAATAATAGATATTCTTTGAACACTGCTTAACACCGAGAGTAAAAACATCAACTAAAAGTAAAAAGTGAACGAGAGTAATAAGACCCAAAACGCATTGCTAAGCTCTGGCACTTCCGAAGCTGCTCGGAGGTTTAAATATCATGAGACAGAACGTGTAATGAGTTCCAAACATTCATTAAGAAAAACTGAATAAAAAGCTGGGAGAGGAGAGTTAAGTAACACGGGGAAAGAGATCTAATCACCGGAGTGTAGAGTCTGAAGAAAACAAACGAGCAAGAAGGAAGGGACAACAAAAAGTGAGTCAAACAGTGTCTGAAAAAAATATATACATATATTTATATTTATATATATATATATATATATATATATATATATATATATATATATATATTTAAGCTATTTGAAATACAATTAAAGGAGACAAAAAAACTTCTACAAACAGACAATCAGGAAAAAGGGAGGAAGAAAAAGGAAGGTGGGAAGAGGAAGGAAGGAAGAAATATTCATTAAAAAACTATTCGAAATATAATTAAAGGAGCCTAAAGGGATGAAGAAAAAGGGAGGAGGAAGGAGAAGGAGTGATAAAAGAAAAGGAAAAAAGTCCTATAAATGTAAACTTTAAAATGTCCACTAACAAGAAGATAAATGAAAAAGAAGGTCAAAGGAAAATCAAAGCAGAAGAAATCTGAAAGTTTAAAATACTGCCTGAAGTAAAATCACCGTTTAGTGAGAGGTGACAAACTCTCCTCTTTGTTTCCTTTGGGTTAGTTTTTCCCTACCTGGTCCTTTCCTTTTGTGTCCCCTGTTTGATTTGCTGTATTGTTTGCGCGACTGAAAGCAAGATACAAAGTGGCCACAAAACAAAGCAATGAAACAAAACAAACTGCTAAAAAAGAAAAAAGAAATGTCAAACTAACAAAAGAAAAAACTTTAACATCAATGTTTTCACCTCAAAATAGAAAATGTATTGGGAAATCAGGCACGTCATTGAGCCTAGAGTCTAATAGCTGGAATTTTCACAGCTGGTCATCATGCACCCATGTCCTATTTGGGAAATTTTTTAAGCAGGCCAATGTAATTTACCCCCCTCAAACCATATATTTCTGAAAGTCTGACACCCTAGGATATTTCAAATGGTGGTATTTTAATACTTTCCATGCACTAATTCTACCACCATTCTTTGTCAACCTTTTGGGTAGTCATGTTTTTGTGTTATTTTTCACACACATTGTACTTTAGGCATGGATTCTTAGCTCCTGTTATGTATTACTACCAAAGAACACCCCAATATGTGTTCAGCAACATCTCCTGAGTACAGTGACACCACCCATGTACAAGTGTATCGGGTTCTTTGGGGGCTAAAAGACCTTATTTGGAGGTTGGGCATTCCAGTTTTCCAACTTAGAATTTTCACAGCTGGTCTTCATACACCTGTAGCGGACTAGCCCCTGTACAAGAGTCCTCCCCAGTTTCATGGAGGGGGTTGCTTGCTCGCCGCCTGCCCAGTGATTATGGTCCCTGGAAGATGGGACCCTTTAAACACCATGGCTGGGCTTAATGGGATTTTTGTATGGCACTACTGGCCCTTTAAGAACCAGCCAAGGGCATATAATATAATATTGCAGAGACTTCGGACTATATAAATTATGCAGCACAGGACATTGAGCTGTCTACCAAAATTTGTGTATTTTAAAATGCTTTCATGTATTGCTATTCCATGAATTCACCTTGTATGCAGCATTCGTCTGATTGTTCGGTAAAATCACTCCGTTTACTATACAAGTGAAACTACCGAACAATCAGACCACCCAAGGAATAAGTGTGCCTCTCATTACCGTTTGCAACAATGTTGCAAACCCCTAATTGACAATTGGTACTTTGTTCTATGGGTGGCCGCCATTTGGGAGTTTTACACGTGGCGGCGGCCATCTTAATCTCCCGAACAGCGGTGTTTTGCCGTCGAGTGTCTGGAACTAAAATCGGACACTCGACTAGGCAAACACTGCTGAGACCTCCAGACTTCCATAAATTCGTGCCTGTGACAGACCCATCTGTATGAACTAGAATTGCTGTGTTCATCTGTTTTGCCGTTTGTATGAATTTCCTCATTCGTATGCCTTGTTTAAGGGAATGTATTTTGTTTGTCGAACGGAACTACCGAACAGATGGCCACCCAGAAGAGAAGTGTGCTGCTGGTTAACCTATTGATCCCAATTAGAACGTTGCGGTTAACCACAGACACTTCTCAATTAAAACAGAATACAGGGTGGTCGTCGTTCGTATGTCGACCACGAGGCAGCGGCCATTTTAACTATGCGAAAGACCAGCGGTGTTTGACGGTTATTTTATGGAACTAAAAACTGACACTTTTTCAACCGAACACCGCTGAAGCCGTCGACCTCCCCTTCTCAATCGACAAAAGTAGGCGAATACCGGCCGTTCGAGAGGTTTAAAGGCACGAATGGACTTACCCCAGATAGCCTTCCCATGGAGTCAATCGCATACCCAAGAACTGTAATAGACTTTGACTCCATGGCGATTGAACTATGCGTATGGGATCTGAGCGCTATTCGACAATAATATGTACTCAGATCCAGGCTATCTGAGGATGTGTTATACGAATGTAATACGTTCGGCAGTTATAAAGTTATGTATTTTAATGTGTTTTGTAACTTATATTTAAAATGGCGATTTGTCTCTGTTCTGGGAGATAATTGAATTACTTCTCAATTATCTCCCGAGCAGAGGGGAGGAAACTGTGATGCATGCTGGGAATATTGTGGGGTTGTATGTCTAAAAGGTCCCCATGTCCTTCTGTTATTCCAGTCTCCCATTTGGTACCCTAGGGGATTGTCCACCAAGTGGGAGACCTGCATAAATACGGGCCGGTAGCCCACAGTAAACTCAGTTCGTGTTTTACCCTCAAAGCGGAGCTTGGTCTCGTTATTGGGGGGATTTTATTACCGGCGACTAGAGACTGCTTACTGGAATTATTTGCCTCTTGGGAGATATTGGCGTTCGGCTAATATTGGCAATTCGTGTATTTGGAGCTCGTGAAGGGAAGGAGCCGTACAGGTACCGTTCAGGAGTTTGGAGTGTTCCCTGGCTGGCGGTTCGCATGGTTAAACTGCATACGCTACCAGACCACATTATTGCGAACGGGGAGCATTCACTAAACGGCGGTTTGTACATTTATTACTGGAAGTACCGTAATAGTGCCGAAACTACCGAACAAGTAGAAAGACTCATCCGAACAAGGGGATTCACATGAAGGCAAGCAAGCCATTTTATTCTGTATTTTCATCTGTTTATACTCACGAACCAAGACCGAGTATGTTACTCACCCAGATCATGGCTACCAGGGGATCCCCTATTTAGGAGTGTACCCTATGTATTTGGGGTACATCCAGGAACTAGGAAATACTGTACATGGATTAAGTGGATTATGTGTCATGCTGAGGGGAGGAGATGTGTGGAAGGTAACATGTATTTTATTGGTTACTGTATTAATTACTGTGGGTGTGTCCCTTGCATGGGAGAATTGCTTAAAAGCAGGCATGTAAAATTAAACCTCAGTTCAGTTCTGTTCCTAATGCTGTGTGTCATCCAGTTATTGGGAAAGGTAATGGGATATTCTTGGATTGTATTGCTGATTGTGCTTGCTACGCTGTTGGATTATTCTATTACTGTGGATGTTTCTCCTGGGGTTACTACTTGTTCCTGAGCCACACCTGGACTACCAGCGGAAATAGTCTGTGAGAGACCAGCGTTTCTCTACAGCACCCATTCCTAATTAGGACATTTTTTAAGGCGGCCAATGTAATTTACCGCCATCAGACCATATATTTTTTTAAAGTAGACACCCTAGGGTATTTCAAATGGTGGTATATTAACACTTTCCATGCACTAAATCTACCACCAGTCTTTATAAAACTTTTGGGTAGTTTTTTGTGTTATTTTTCACACATATTGTACTTTAGGCATTCATTCCCAGTTCCTGTTATGTGTTGCATAAAAAATGGCATACCATTTTTAAATGAAGGCAACCCAGGGTATTTAAAATGGAGTATGTCCAGTCGTTTGTAGTAGCCACTGGCCAAAGTTAGCGTTTTTATTTGTTTTTTGCATGTTTTTACACAAAAACTGCACTTTTACTGGAGATTTAATCGTCGTGATAAGTTTTACTGATTTATAACACTCATATTTGTGTTCAGCGAACTCTCCCGAGTATAAAAATAGCCCACATGTACAGGTTTTATTGTGTTTTTTTTTTTTATCATTGCAATTTATTGTTTTACCTTCAGTTAATACATCTGCGATATTTCAGATTAACATTGTCACATCCTTCAGTATACAGTGTTAAACAGCATTAATACACGTGCTATATCAAACATCCTTACATACATTATATCATACAGTGTTCCATATATTTTCCCCTGTGTTGTTGTGTACCATAGTGACTGGCAAATCTATACCCATCAATCGCTACAGTTGTGGGGTAAAGGGTAGGGAGGGCGGTACCCTCTCTCCTGTCTGCGTAAGTGAGGTGTGAGGCCTTCTATGTGTTCCCTGTTGTGGGGGATACAGAGTTAGAAGTGGATGTGAGAAAACTCGTAGCCGGAGTGGTATGTTGGCAGATGAGCGCAGTTAATGTCTATTCGTGGTGCGTACATTTAAACTAAAATAAGAGAAAAAACATACATGTCCATGAGTAAAGGGTGCAAAAATGCTCACAATCCTAAGAGCTGTAGGACAGGAAAAAGACTGAGGGACGTTATGCAGGGATACTCCTTTTAAAGGTTTTGTTTTATTCCTGTCCTATCGGCTGTCAGGGGAGGAGCTAACTCACGTGTATATGCTGCCATGATTAGCCAGGAAATATCATATATCTTATTTTAATATACTATATCTACTTTGTGACCATCTGCCTAAATTTAAGCAATTTTGTATCTTTTTCTTTTTTTTTTACTTTTCCTGCCTTTCATTTTACTATAAAAAAACAGAAACAAAAAAGCAAAAAATATAAAAGAAAATAAAGACTATACACAGATACATATATACATTTGTTTCTCTTCTAGGAAGACAGGAAAGAAGACAGGGAAAAAAAAAGATCAAATACCTTAGTAAATCTAACTGATACCATAAGTCTTGATATATATTTAATTATTTTCATTACCTATCTCTTCTACCCTTATTAATCTATATTATGACAGTGTTCCCGTGTTCATAAAAATTATCATTTTCAACTAGATAGGGAAATTACTTATTCCTCTCTTCTCTTCTTTCCCCCTCGCCCCCCTCCCCCCCCTCTCTCCCAGAATGTTTTAATTTATGCATTATTATTATTTTTACTTTATGCATATTATAAGTTCAAAGGCGAGAAAGAAAGGTTAACAATGAAGGAGGGTTAAAGTCAGGAGAATAAAAGAATTGGATACAAATGATATAATTTCTTAAAATGTTAGTGTTATTTTTTATTATTTCCTTTTTTTTTTTTACACTAATAAGGCACTATACACCTAACACCATATTTAAAGATTTTAAATTGAATAAATAGATATAGGTATAAAACATAAAAAATACAATAATGGAAAAAGAAAGGGGTATAAGGACAAAGAGAAGGTAAATAATAAGACACATATTCACATAAATAATACATTTTACATAGATTCACATTGAATAGGTATATAGAAGTATACATATACTTATCTTTATTAAACTATATATATGTATTTCAAAGTAATGGATTCACAGATATGGCCTTTTTTATGTATATTTATATTATTACATTTTTATTAATTATATTATAAGTATTTATTTATGATTTTTCTTTTCTTTTTTTCTTTCACCAAGAAGGTTTTTGAATTAGTATAAAGGTAATATGTAACACTATGGTTAGAAATTATCACATTAAACAAATGAATACACATAAAATATGATAAGAAAGAGGAAAGAGGCACAAAGATAAAAAGATTGCACTTAAGATGTCACATACTCACACTAATAATAATTTTATATTTAATTTAAAACAATGTCCTCATACAGATATATGTGTGTGTGTGTGTGTGTGTGTGTGTGTGTGTGTGTGTGTGTGTGTGTGTGTGTGTGTGTGTGTGTGTATTTTATTTTTGTTTTTTCCTTTCACATGTTTGATGCTTAACTAATTTTATCTATAAGGAGGAGAGAGGAAAAGTAAAATAATACATACAGTAAAAAGTTCTGGGGGAGAGGAGGAGAGGAGCAGGGGAAAGAAGAGAAGAGAGGAATAAGTCATTTCCCTATCAAGTTGAAAATTATAATTATTATGGATACGGGAACACTGTCATAATATAGATCAGTAAGGGTACAAGAAATAGGTAATGAAAATAATTAAATATATATCAATACTTATGGTATCTGTTAGATTTACTAAGGTATATGATCTTTTTTTTTTCCTGTCTTCTCTCTTTATTCTCTCCTAGAAGAGAAACGTATGTAGAGATGTATATAGGTATATATGAAACCAAGAGGGCTGCATTTCATTTATATATTTGGGTGTCCAGGCCAACTCCTTGGTTTTGCACCCCTCCCTGTCACAGGTGCCTCATTCCAGGACCCTATTTAGCCTTGACTTGCAGAGAGTCCCAGTAAGGAAGTATTTCCCAAGTAAGTGGATTAATCTCATAAGGGCCAGCATTAGGCTGCTAGAGTAGGACCTGCCAAGAATGGGCTACATTGACGTTGTGGCAGGCTTATGCAATATATGATCATATAATGTAACTAAACCCCCATTATTTTTGCCTAGGTGAGGTGTTTTTAAATAAAACTATTACAATCTCTAAGATTTAAAGTCATTGTTTAGTGAATAAGCGAGTGCACTTTATTTTGTATTTTGTATGTATATATATATATGTGTGTGTGTATACATGTGTATATATGTGTGTGTGTATAGTCTTAATTTTTATTTGTTTGTGTACAGAAAAACTATAGATAATGCTCTTCAATAATTATATATATACAAGTACAAATATACAATAGCCGATTCACACTCCAGGGGGAGTCTCCCTCACCTCCTGTAATAGATATAAAAAGTAAAGGGTTATATACGCCAAGGTTTGAACAAACTTCTCACCTGTGGCATATATTATAATGAAGCACTGGAAATAGTAAGTGAAATAGATAATAATGTTGACTTACATCCAATTTTCACGTGGGGTATTAATTTAACATATTTAACATTAATTTAACAAAAAAGGGGGAGAGAGAAAATATAACACAGCATAAATCTGTAGAGAATTTTTTTCAAAGGTAATAGGATTGAATAATATCAACTCACATTGAAAAGAGCCTCTGATAGGACAGGCTCAAATCACAGATGCTTCTGTGCCGCCTGGTGGCACTTTACCCTTTAATAATGTGGAAAGTTGCCCTCAGAGAAAAACATAAAAACGGAAAACCTCTATGTTGAAGTATCTAATATCCATATGGTGTTGGCAATTTGAAAAGCAGACCAATTGTCCTGATGGTGAGACACAAAACAACGGAGGTATTGCTCCAGAGACTGGTTGGCACGTTCAGCAGCCCCATTAGACTGGGGATGATAAGCGGAAGAAAATGAGAGAGAAATACCCATTTCTGAACAAAAGGCCCTCCAGAACCTGGAAATAAATTGGCTACCCCTATCGGATACAATAGATACGGGAATCCCATGTAATCGAAATACTTCTCTAGCGAAGATATGAGCCAGTTCCTTGGATGTGGGCAACTTGTGAAGAGACACGAAGTGAGCCATTTTGGAGAACCGATCCACTATCATCAGGATTACTGTGTTACCATTTGAAGGGGGTAATTCAACAATAAAATCCATGGACAGGTTAGACCAAGGTCTCTCGGGAACGGGTAACGGATGCAACAGCCCACAAGGAACTCTACGGGAGGATTTCATACAGGCACAAGTAGTACAAGCACTTATATAGTCAGTGACATCCTTTCGTAAGGAATCCCACCAAAAATACCGAGAAACAGCTGACACCGTTTTGGAAATACCAGGATGTCCAGCAGTCTTAGTATCATGATATAATGACATAATATCCCGTCTCTCAGGAACATCAACGAACAGTTTATCATTAGGCCTCTCGCTAGGTGCCATGCTTTGTTTCGCTTGTATGGCCTGCAAGAGGGACGAGGAAATAGACAAAATAGTAGTAGCTATTATCCTGTCTGGGGGAATGACAGGAGTAACATCAATCTCCTGTTTGTCAGTAGTTTCGAACTGTCTGGACAGAGCGTCTGCTTTAGTGTTGCGATCACCTGGCCTATAGGTGATAATAAAATTGAAACGGGACAAAAATAGTGACCACCTAGCCTGCCTGGAAGACAATCTTTTGGCTTCGCTAAGGTAGGATAGGTTCTTGTGATCCGTAAAAATGAGGATAGGATCCTTAGTTCCTTCTAACAAATGTCTCCACTCTTTAAGTGCTAAAATAATAGCAAGGAGTTCGCGATTACCCACATCATAATTTTTCTCTGCTTTGGACATTTGTTTAGAAAAGAAGCCGCATGGATGCAATGGCTTTTCAGGCGACTCTCTTTGGGATAAGACAGCACCTACCCCAATATCCGAAGCATCAACTTCAAGAATATAGGGCAGTGAGGGGACAGGATGCTGTAAAATAGGTGCAGAGGCGAACGTAGTTTTAAGAAATTCAAAAGCCTGAAGTGCCTCGGTAGACCAAACACGAGTATTGCCATCCTTTTTAGTCATACGGGTAATAGGTGCTACAATGGACGAGAAACCTTTGATAAAACGTCTATAATAATTGGAGAACCCAAGAAAACGCTGAATAGCTTTCAGACCTTGCGGTAGAGGCCATTCTATTACAGCAGCAAGTTTCTGGGGATCCATACGAAAACCTTTAGCGGAAATCAAATACCCCAAGAACTGGACTTCGGTTTGGTCAAACAGACATTTTTCTAGCTTGCAATAAAGACCATTAGCAAGAAGGGTCTTCAAAACTGTCGTAACATGTCTGTGATGAGTGTGTACCGTATTTTTCGCTCCATAAGACGCACCTCACCATAAGACGCACCTAGTTTTTAGAGGAGGAAACCCAGAAAAAAAAATATTCTGAACAAACTGTTCCATAGTGTTTCTTACCATGGGACAGTTTGTTCAGAATATTTTTTTTTCTCCCCTGTCCCATAATGATCTTTAACCCCCCTTTCCTCTGTCCCATAGTGATTGTTAACCCCTCCTACCCTGTCCCATAGTGATTGTTAACCCCTCCTACCCTGTCCCATAGTGATTGTTAACCCCTCCTACCCTGTCCCATAGTGTTCTTTAACTCCTCCTCCCCTTGTCCATTAGTGTTCTGATCCCATAGTGTCCCCCCTCCCATTGTCCCATAGTGCACTTTCCCTCCCATAGTGTCCCCCCTGCCCCCATAGTGTCTCCCATAGTGTCTCCCCCATAGTGTCTCCCCCTCCCCTTGTCCCATAGTGTCCCCCCCTCCCTTGTCCCATAGTGTCTCCCCCTCCCCTTGTCCCATAGTGTCCCCCCTCCCCTTGTCCCATAGTGTCCCCCTCCCCCTTGTCCCATAGTGTCTCCCCTCCCTTTCTCCCATAGTGTCTCCTCCCCTCCCCTTGTCCCATAGTGTCTCCTCCCCTCCCCTTGTCCCATAGTCTCCTCCCCTCCCTTTCTCCCATAGTCTCTCCCCTCCCTTTCTCCCATAGTGTCCCATCCCCTTGTCCCATAGTGTCTCCCCCTCCCCTTGTCCCATAATTACTTACCTGTCTTGGAGCGTGGGCCGGCTTCACAGCGCGCTCCGCGGTCCAGGAACTTCTATTTCAGGTTCCGGTTTCCGGCGGGACTGAAAGGAAGTGTGCACACTTCCTTTCAGTCCCGCCGGAAACCGGAACCTGAAATAGAAGTTCCTGGACCGCGGAGCGCGCTGTGAAGCCGGCCCACGCTCCAAGACAGGTAAGTAATTCTTCACATTCGCTCCATAAGACGCACAGACATTTCCCCTCACTTTTGAGGGGAAAAAAAGTGCGTCTTATGGAGCGAAAAATACGGTATATCTGTAGAATATATTAAAATGTCGTCCAAGTATACGATAACAAATGTGTGAATAAAATCTCTTAAGACATCATTAATAAATTCTTGGAATACTGCTGGGGCATTGCAAAGCCCAAATGGCATAACAGTGTATTTGTAATGACCGGATCTAGTGTTGAATGCAGTCTTCCATTCGTGATTTTCCTTTATACGTATCAAATTGTATGCATTCCTAAGGTCTAATTTAGTGAACACAGTGGCATGTTTCAGCCTGTCAAATAATTCTGTAATTAAAGGTATAGGGTATGCATTTTTGATAGTGATTTTGTTTAGACCTCTATAATCTATACACGGTCTTAAATCACCTTCTTTCTTCGATACAAAGAAGAACCCTGCTCCAGCTGGAGAAGAGGATCTCCTAATAAACCCCTTTTCTAGTGATTCCTTAATATACTCCTCCATGGCACGGTTTTCTTGAACCGATAAGGGGTACACCCTGCCCTTTGGAGGTATAGTGCCAGGCAACAAGTCAATAGCGCAATCATAGGGTCTGTGAGGCGGTAATTTCTCAGCCTCCCTTTTATCGAAAACAGTCTTTAGAGATAAATACTGAGGGGGTATAACCGTAGACAAAGGAGGACTGGTAGGTACCTCAATAGAATTCAAAGGTGTGACTTCCAACGTACAAGACTCGTGGCAGGTCTCACTCCATGATTTTATTTGCCCTGTCTCCCAGTCAAAAATGGGATTGTGAGCACGTAACCATGGATACCCTAATACTAACTGTGAAGAGGGAGAGGTGATGACCTGGAATCGAATGGTTTCATAGTGTAAAACCCCTGTGTACATGTGTAATGGTACAGTCTCATGAGTAACAACTGGAGAACTTAATGGTCTACCATCTATGGCCTCAACGGCCAAGGGTATCTCCTTCTCTCTGATGGGAATGTTGTTTCTCTTTATAAAGCCAGAGTCTATAAAATTTTCAGCTGCCCCAGAGTCAACCAGAGCATATATGTTGTCAACTATACAAATCTCTCCCATATATAAAGAAACCGGGAGAAGCAAGCGGTTAGGAGGCAATTTAGGAGACTTAGATATCACACCCAAGGCCAGTCCCCTATAAGGTCTTAGGTGCGAGAGTTTTCCGGGAGTAAAGGACATTCCTTTACCATATGGTCTCTCCTACCACAGTATAGGCAGAGTCCCTCCCTTCTCCTATGTAATTTCTCAGTATCAGAGAGTTTGGCAACCCCTAATTGCATAGGTTCCTCCTCAGACACTTTAACACTCTCTGGTATATTAACTCTGGGGTTAATGGGTGTAACAAAACGTCTATTCCTGTTCTTGGTATAGAGCCTGTCACGAATTCTATTATCTATATCAATGAGGTAATCGATAAGGTCCTCTAAGGCAATAGGAAGCTCCTTAGCTGCTACCTCATCCAATATCGTATCTGACAAACCTTCCATAAAGGCAGTAGTTAACCCATTGTTGGTCCAATCTACCTGCGAAGCAAGAGTGCGAAACTGAATAGCATAATCAGCCACAGACCTAGAACCCTGTTTAATTCTCATTAATGCTCTCGCGGCATTCTTTGACCTTTTCATTGTGTCAAAAGTTCTACGAAAAGCCGTAAGAAAACTGTTGAAATCATGTACCATAGGTCCATTAGCTTCCCAAATAGGATTTGCCCACTCAAGTGCCTTATCGGTAAGTTGGTGCATAAAGAACCCAACCTTAGACCTCTCTGTGGGAAATGAACGTGGATACATTTCGAAGTGGAATTCAATTTGATTAATAAACCCTCTGCAAGTCTTAGAGTCCCCTCCATACCTAGGAGGAGGTGTTAAATGGGCCGAAGTATTAGGCAAAGTAGATACTTCAGGGAGAAGGGGCGTAGGAGGGTTAGGTGTGGTTGCTGGAACGGTTCTAGCTAGGAGCGTCTGGAGAGCCTGAGCTATCTGATCCATACGGTGATCCTGCTCTACAAATCTTGCCTCATGGGACGCCATCTGTTGAGCTAAATCTGCGGGGTCCATGGCCCTATCGTAATGTAACGAGAATATACCCCTACACGCAGGATCCAGCTAAACAGAGGCAAATACAGAGGAGAGATACGTCTACCGGACCTTAGAATGGCCGGACTCGACGTATATGAGAGGAGACAGAGCCAGGAACAAACCGAGGTCAAGGGCACAGAGAGACAGCGTAAACTAGGACAAGCCGGGTCTGGTACACGGAAAACAGCAAGCCGGCAAACAGTACAGATAAGGATAAAGCGAAAACGAAGTCAGAATACGAAGCCAAAGTCAATACGAGAAAACACAACTGAACACCACAAGCGCTAAAGGGAACTGAAACAGAAACCACGATAGGGCAACGAGCTAAGGGAAAAAGGTAAGTTTAAATAGCTTTTAAACGAAAGTGATTGGCTCCTGTCACTTCCACACCCCCTATAGGTAATTGTACAGGGAGTGTGGTATGACAGGAGCCAATGGGAGCCTTTTGGCAATTAGGCTCCCACTGTCTCTTTAAGAGCGCGCCCGAGACTCGCGGCGCGCTCTTAGTTTCAGGCGGGACACGTGACCGCTTCACGCGGTCACTGCCCGCCTTCCATCTAAAGCAGTCGGATGAGCCGCGCGCGGCTCGTGCAGCCGCAGGACCGCGCGCGGCTTGAAGAGAGGACCGCGACCGGCCCCCGGTTAAGGTAAGTAACGCTACACATGCTTCATTTGGTCACAAAGGACTTCGGTCTATCTTTTGAACCACTGGACCAATTTGGATGATTTTGACATATGTTTGTATTTGGAGTATACTGATTCTGAAAATGTAAGTTTATGTGAATGTGATGCATACTTTTCAAGTTATAAATAATATGGAAAAACTGTATTTCTCCTCTTGTAATAATTACATTACCCATTGTGTAAGGTAATTGTATCACAGGCAGAGGGGAGGATTTTGTGTGGGAGTGTCTGAGTGTATTGTACATGTTTATTGGTTGTTTTCCAAAACCCTGTGGGTGGTACTAATGTGTAAGAATGTGTACATAAGAACAATAAACCCACAGCTCTGTCTGTTCACTGCTTGACCCTCAACACGGAGCTTTGTCTCATTCTTGGGGGGATTTATTGTATGCTGTTCCAGTTTGACTGCTAGGAGTGTAAACCTATTCGTATGTTTTTTCCTATTCGGCTGTTTACAGCATTCGTATGGTTCCGGTTCAGCTGTTTACAGCATTCAGGTGCTTCTCCGGTTCGGTGGATTGGTGTCTACAGTAGCTGCCTGTATATCTGGAAGGGAATATCCTCTAAACGGCTGTTAACCCCTTTTATGCCTGGGGGTGCCGTTACACTGATAAAGTTTGAAAATAACACTTTGCGCTATTACTTAGAGGCAAAGTCCAGATAGGTGTCATGGAGGTTGGTGTGAATCAGGATGGCAGGATAGTAGCATAGATTAGACTAGTTTGGAGCAGGTTGGTATAAGGTCGGTTGGCAGGCTAAAGCAGGATAGAAACGTAGGTTATGCTGGTTTGCAGCAGGTTGGTATAAAGATAGTTGGCAGGCATGGGCGTCCGCAGGAATATTTTTTGGGGGGTCATAATTGTAATGACATCCATGGTCGGCCCCATTTTGACAGTGTCATGAAGGGGAGGGGCATAGTCATTAGCACATAAAGTGCAAGCAGGCAAAGAGTTAAGAAACCTGATGGAAAATCTTATTAGAAGAATCAAGTTGACATTGTCTGATTTAAGTATTGCAATGTCTAATCTGTTTTAATATTAACACTATTCAATGCATCCTATTAGTCATACAACCATGATCAAGGCACTATCACTGAATTATAAAAATAAAAGTGTGTAATCTACATTTCGTGTTACATTTGGCCACAGCAAAATGCACAGCACCAGATTGCACCCACAGCACTTTTCACTTGACAGCAACAGATTGCACCCACAGTGCCAGATTTCACTTTCAACAGTCCCAGACTGCAAACAACGCTATTGCCACATCATAAGAAGTGGTGTTATCAGAATCTGTTCAGATGTTTAAACAGCAACTTGATGCATACTTGCAAAACATAATATTCAAATATGTAATTTTTCAATGCAGGGTAAATGCTTCTTGATCCAAGGATAAATTTGACTGCCATTCTGGGGTCAAGAGGGAATTTTTTTCCTAGTTTATTGCAAATTTGGAGGTGCTTTAAACTGGGTTTTTTTGCCTTCTTTTGGATCAACAAAAAAACAAATGTGAGGAAGGTTGAACTTGATGGACACATGTCTCTTTTCAGCCTATGTAACTATGTGCCTAACTATGTAACTATGTATTCCCTCCGACTACATCTGACAAGTCCACTTCCTAGCTGCCACAAGGGACCCTGGAACGCTTTAGCCCCAGTTGACTGGGGTCTCTCCCTAACTTTTCCACCAGACCCTACTTCAGTTCTGTTCTTCTGGGCAAGCACCCTCATGCTTCTTCAGTTTTTCAGACATCAACAGCTCTGCTTATAGTGATTGCTCCTGTCTTTACAAAGACACATGCGGCCCCTAGGCCTATCTCTATTTTTTATTTGTCCTGGACTAGAGGGATTGTGTAGCCAGCCAACAGGTCCCTAGACTCTGTTACTGGGATACCTAAAAATACACAAAAATACACAAAGGACACACAGTTCCAAAAAGAAGTAACATACAATTATTTATTTTCGACAAGGACTAAAGTAAAGGACTAGTTTTTAAACATGTGCTGACAAACATTTAAAATACAAATATATAGAACATTGGAGAACGAGCAACTATAATTAATACATGACCTAAATAATACAAATAACATTTTCAATCACGCTAAAACTAAATTTTATATATATATATATATATTTATATATATATATATAACTGTTTATTTGGTTGCCTTTTTTTGCATACCAGCATTATACAGATGTACAAACTTCCATTCAGCCACCAGAGGGTGCTGTAGAGTTATCCAGTAACAATGAATCATTTGTTTTTCAACAGCTATCATCACATGCCTTTCCGGGGCTTTTGGGACCAGGTCTATAGTCTGTGGGCAAGAGGATGGCCTTCAAGCCTCTACAAAAGGCTATGGCATGGGAGCTTCTGTCACACTTTCCTTAGCCACCTGGGAAGTGGCTTAACAGCTATCCATCCATTTCTTGTCTTCTTCATTAGCTTTGACATCATGGTCTTGACAATATGTATTTTTTTCTGTGTTAATTGGCATTCTTTAAAATTGAATTGGTTCTTGTATGTTTACATTTTGGAAATATTGATTGTGATATGTGTTATAAGATTTATGATAAAATTGTTTAAAGCTGTACTGTTAGTTTCTTGCAGCTGTGGACTTTGTATTTATACATTTATCTGTGTTTATATGTGTTGAAAATAAATTTGTAACACATTTCTAAATGATTTGCAATTATGTATTTATTTTGGTTGGGGAATCTGCTGTGCTTCTTACTGAATTAGGTTGTATTTCTATATGTTTTGTCATTTTATTTTATGAGATTTGGGGGTGGGGGTTGTAACATTTTACATTCGTAATAATGTATCAGTTATTCCTCTATTCAGATTTATTGGCTATTTAATTTGTCTGTACAAACTAACAATTAATTTGTAATATCTATTTTCATCTATGTGTGTGGTTCCTCTTACCTTGAGTATTGGGTAGTGTTATTAGTGTCTTTGTTTTTCTTAATTACTATGTTTTAGTTAGTTAATTAGTGTTTTTTTAATTTTTGCTTATATGGTTTTGTATCTTTTATAACGCCAAAAATAAGGGTTTTATGTATTTTTTTTAAAGTAACACAATTTAGCAATAATTATCCATGTATTGTTCAACTGGGCCTCTGGACAGTCAAGCCTCATTCCTCTGATGGTGAGATAAGTATTTCATTTATATTATCTTTTTATTTACTTTAGTGGATATGACCAGTTTTCTGTGGATTATTTGACATTATGAATTCAATCATTTTGTTGGATTTTCAAATGGTCTCATGTTTTTAACCTACTTTTAATGTGAATTAATTGTGAAAAATATTTTGTAATATTCTGTTATTTTTTTATATATTGGTGTTTTTTTATATATTTTTTTGTTTTATTCTTTTATGAACAAAAGCAATGTTACAAAAGACTGGAAATCACTATGTTACTGTTTTAACCCACCAATTGATACTGTTTGCCACTGCATAAGTTAAGCAGAAAACCACGAATGGATTGCGCGAACCCTTATGAAAGCTCCATTCGTGGTACGAACGGGGGACCCCCCAGAAACTGGCGTGTGCCGCCACTTAACCCCGTCACCCCGCAAACTACCGAACGGTCGACCACCCGGCCCTCGGAGTATGGCAGCCATTAACCACCCAGGTGTCTGCGGTTTGCGGTTAACCACAACGTAATTGGTAGGCCTGGGGGCATCGACGTTCGCACCCAAAGTACCCAAGGGAAAATACCGAACTATCAACCGAACGACGACCCCCTACAGCGGGTCGCGTGGCGCTCGTTAACTTGTGGTTTCTGCGGTTAACCGCAGGTCAAGTACCCTGCTCCCAGGTGGTCCTCATTCCCTTACCGAACGAGCCCACTACCAGACAGACAGCGGGACTTCGCATGAACTGATCCCGAGTTTAGTTCCACGAGTTAGACACGAAGTCCCGCTGCTCGCTAAACCAGCAGAAAACATGGCCGCCAACAAAGACTAACAACCTCAAAATGCCGAACGGACTTTATATGGCAGAAACAGTACATTCTGTTTGTGGGGTTAGAGCGCCATTCGCCTGTTTTATATACACGAACGCGAGCCTTCAGATGAAGGGTAGAATGAGCGGTTTTCATGTATTAATATAAAAGTTATGGATTTTTATGCAGTTTTCTGGGACATAATAAAACGTGGTCTTTTGTGCGCTTGAAGATAATTAGATTGTATAACCGTTGGCCTCATTATCTCCAAGCTGGGCGGGTACTGATTCAAATAATACACTGTACTGTGATTGGATATTTGTCTGTACTGTACCTGTATTCCATCAGGTCCACAGGGGGCTGTCCTTGGACCTGAGGAATCACATAAATTGCCATGCTATGTGCCAGTAAAGCCAGTTCGTTTTGACCCTCAACTTGCAGCCTCGACTCATGTTGTAGGGATCCGGGATATTGATGCTTATATCGTGCTTGGGGATATTCTACATTTGCAGTTTACTACCGAAAGACCTCCGTTCGACTCTCTGCAGCGGGAACCAGGACATCCAAGCGATCAACCCTCCTGCTAGACCGGGGGCAATCGTAACAAGCAATATGTCCACAAGTAGTGATTTTTGTAAAATATGTTCTATAAAGGGGAAAAAAACATAAAACTATTTTGTTACTGGTAGTAAAAATATTAAAGAGCAACTTAGCTGTTGGCTATTCTTCCACTCTCTCTTCCATTCATTTATCCTCAGACACATACTTACTCTCTTGTTGCACATTCTTCCATCTCAATCTCTCCGGCTGCGTTAGGCTTTAAACTAGTGCAATCGCAACTTTCTCTCAGCATCTTGTACGGCTTTCTTATGGCTCTTCCCACCCGTGTTTGCTTCCCTCTCTTCACATTCATTTCCACACTCAATTGACATGTGGTCATCATTCTCTGGCATTCCGCTCCAGCCAGATTAGTTTTGGTGGTTTTCTCTCTGCTTCGGGCCCCTGCTTTCTGCCCTGAGGGATCCTGATGTGGTGGTTCTCCACATGGACTGTGGGGTATTTTCTAGATTGGGCTAGGATAGCCGTTTTTACCGAGACATCCCTGGTGACCGCTATGATTTGGAGTTTTTTAATGTCTACTTTGGTGGAAGGTTAGGCATCAGAGTCAGATTCTACCAGATTCTACCTTCTGGTGTATTTCACTTGAAGTCCACGGGACCCTGATTCTTTCTTCATCCTGTGACACTTCGGAGTCACTTGAGCCTCGCGGCCCTTTAGACGCCATCTTGTGTTGTGGCCTGTCAAAGGACCAGCGAATGACTGGTAAGTGGGAGCTCTCTGAGTGGCCCAACTTGTGATTTTTTTCACCCCAGGTCACTGCTGGGGGGTCAAAGTCTCAGTTGTTGTGGTTACTCAGGATTTGGGGCTGTTTTCGTGGTAATTTGCTCGATATTTTGGTGGTGGGAGCCTAGTTAGGAGCCTAGTTAGGATCACAGCTAGCCACGCCCCCATTTGATATTTTAACATTTTGAAAAAGATATTTTAAAAGTTTTAAAGATATTAACTCATTTTAAAAGCATATGAAACAATATTAAATCAATGCCAATGTTACCACATTTAAAAAAAATATTTTACCAGTAAAGTTGCGTTTATATTTCTCTCATTTTCAAGTATGGCATACTTAGTTCTTCATGATATGGAATGATAGGTATGGAACAAAGATAGGACTTGATAGTGTAGTATGCTATGGTCAAAAAGGAGTAGAATAAAGAAATGCACTTACTACACTATATTGGTGCCTAATTTAGCTCCACTTAGCTCCTAATTAAGCTTCAAACAGAGCTCTTATTAAGCTCCACTTAATGCGCTTGAGTGGTACATCCCCACTTATGAGTATTCTGAAAGATATGTAATGAATCACACAGAAAAAAAAAATACACCAATATAGTTTAGTATATCTGGTAAATGAGTACTGGGTCAGTAAGTAAATCAAAATGCACTCACATATTCCAGATCCTGAGCACTGATTAACTAGAGCCATTTGGAAGCTCTGGAATATGTCAGTACATTTTCATTTGAATTCTAGCAGTCACAGTTGCACTATTTGTATTTATATTCCTGTTTTACATGTTATAACAGAATACATAGCACCAACAAATTATAGAGGAAAGTATACTAAATTATTAGTACTCCATTCATATATTGTTTTGGATGTTCCACTGTAACAATTTATTTTTGCGTATTTTATATCGGGTGGGGTTTATGGTAGTTATACTTACATGAGTGCAATAGCAGCTTGTACACTTATTTGTTAGATTATTGTTATAAGCATCTCTGTTTCACACTTTCATCATTTGTTTTGATATTTATTTATAATTTATATTGTAATTAATTCCCTGAAGATTGTAGTTTGGGATTTACACAGAATACATTTGTACATTTATAGGAGAGATGCATATGTACATTTCCATCTGGGTTAATCATTATATTAATCAGAGATAAAAGGAAACACTTGATTATTTAAGATCAGACTTTGCCAGGTTGATCTGGGTTTGTTAGATTAAATACAGCAATGTCTAAATGAGCTCTAGAAGCCCATTAGACACAAAAAGGTCCCTTGTAATATGTAAAAGATATAAAGAAAAAGCACAACTTTATTGCAAAACAGAAAAGAAAAACTTACATAACTAAAAGAGACAAATGAAAAAAATAAATAAAAAACACCCTATAAAAAGCCAAAATGGTTCGAAAGCTGAAGGGGAGGTAATTCTAAATCCTACCTCAATGTTGCTTTTAATACAACCTAGCCCAGTGGCCTAATGGATAAGGCATCAGCCTCCGGAGCTGGGGATTGTGGGTTCAAGTCCCACCTGGGTTGATATGTTTTTACCACAACAAGAGGACATAGTCTTAAATTAGAGGTACAAAGGTTTAAAAATAATATCAGGAAGTATTACTTTACTGAGAGGGTAGTGGATGCATGGAATAGCCTTCCAGCTGAAGTGGTAGAGGTTAACACAGTAAAGGAGTTTAAGCATGCGTGGGATAGGCATAAGGCTATCCTAACTATAAGATAAGGCTAGGGACTAATGAAAGTATTTAGAAAATTGGGCAGACTAGATGGGCTGAATGGTTCTTATCTGCCGTCACATTCTATGTTTCTATGTTTCTAGCGTCTCTCCCAAGAACCACAAGCTACATTGAGACATTGTCGTATTTAGTCTTACTTATTAATGTGGGTTAACCCCATAAGTGATTTCCTTAGCATACCATTTAGTTTATTTATATTTTCTGTTCACACCTTTGCCTTTCTCCACTTTTCAGGCTGCAAATTTCTAGAATAAATCCTTGTTTGTTTAATATTATAAAGGATTATAAAAGAAATTAGAGATACAACAAAAGTTACATAGTTTCTACTAACTGCCCTGTCAGATAATCTATGATGAAGGGAAAGGAAAAGAGAAAGAAACGATTAGTAAAGTAATGGTGGAAACAAAGAAGAAAAGAAGGGTGAAGGAGACGGGGGGGGGGAAATGGTGCCTTAAGCACATACAATAATGTGGAGATCTAGAAGGCAGTTAAAAAGTCCAAAAAGAAGGAAATTTACAAACTAAAAAAGAGTAATATTATTTACTGAGCACAAGTCACCATAGAAACAACTGATGGGGCAAGTCAAGACTCTTACCACTAATAGTAATTGAGAATGCAATTTATAGGACCTAGATTGGTGGTCCAGAACTGGACTAAAATATGTATTGCTAGTTTGTTTTTGTTTTGTAGGAAAGGCTCTGGGTATGTTATATTATTGTTGAGTATTCAGTTTGATTTGGTGATTTATCATTTATGTTGTAACAAAATAGGGATTATATATTTTGAAAACGGGAAAGGCATACTGGATACAATTTAAAAAATCATGTTTTTTCCACCCTCCTTTCGCTCTTTCTATTTCTCTATACATGAACAGAGTTACCAAAGAGACACATGTCCATGCATATTATGGTTAAGATACTCATCCCCAGGGCTAATCGAGACTGTATTTTACAGGACTCCAATAGTTGGTCCAGTTTTGGACTAATATATCCACTGTTAACCTTATTAGGAAATATTTTATGTGTATGTTTTATTACTGTTCGGTTCTTTGTGATAGTGATTTGTGATGGTTATTTGGAGTTATTTGTGTCCTTTTTTCTCTCTCTCTCTCGCTCTCCTCATCCTTACAGTTCCCCCTCTTACTTGCCACCTGCTAAAATTGCAATGACCTTTCTTGTGGAAATATTAAGAGTATTTGAAATTATTTAATGGGGGGGGGAGGGGAGAGGCGGCTGGCTAGCATGGTGTATGGCTGTGTTCTTAATGAATTCCTCACATACAGCTTGAAACTTGAACATTCTGCTCGGATTGTAAGTTCAAAGGGAACTCTAGCGAATACTTACCTCTCTTTGTCCACTCAGGAGTTTTTTTCTGAGAGTTTTAGCACTTCTGAACCACATGCAGAATTGATTTTGAGGCCTATGCACCAGGGCAGGGGCGTACCTAGAGCATTTTCCTCCGCTCTAGGTACGCCCATCTTTAAAATATAGAAAACACTCAAGTATATATTAAATGTTTTCAAGAATACACACCCTTCCAAAAAGTATACAACCCCAATTCACAAATAAAACCCTGCACCCCATTTCATAAATAAATACACCACCCATTCAAAAATAAATCCCTGCACCCACCTTCCATAAATAAATACACCCCCTTCACAAATAAAACCCTTTACCCCACTTCAATAAATAAATACACCCTCCTTCACAAATAAAACCCTGCACCCCCCTTCCATGAATAAAGACACCTCCCCTTCACAAAAAAGCTCTGCACTCCTTACATTCTGGACTCACAATTATAGATGACTCGATGGAGAATGCTTCTCTCTGCTCCGGCCTCACTACTGCCTGCATTGCCGACCTCACATAAGAGTTGATCCTTCTGCTACTGGAGTTCCGTGAAGACAGATAGGCAGCGCCCGTCGGCGTGACGTGGAACGCTTCAACACTCCACCCCATCCTTCCAATGTATATATTGCTGGTCCCTTCCAATATATCCTCATAAATACAACCTTAAGAAATGTCAAACATATGAAGAAGTGATTCACTCATTGGAGTATGGGTCAAAGAAGGTCCTCAAAAGGCATCAGTCTTAATTTATTAAAAATTTTGTTCCATAATTAAAAAAACAAAAAGTACACTTACACTTTGAAAAGTACTATCAATCAATGGAAATACAGCAAACATACTACAGACCTCGGTTTACAAATTTAATGCGTTCAGTCTGTAAATTTAGGATGGGTCTCCACCCTACCGAGGAGTTTTCGGTCAGAAATAGGTGTGAATAGAAGCCGTGAGTCCTTTCTAACTCAGGGACTGGTACAATGACGCCTTCTTTTTGTAGAGAAGAAGTGAAGACCTGGAAAGCAAGCCTTTTTACTTTGCCTCCCGGCCATTTTGTGATTTGGAAGGAACTGGTAGGAGGGTGTTTGCAAAATTCTAGAAGATATCCCCTTCTGATGATATCCAGAACCCAGTTGCCGCTTACGGAATTGGAGTAAGCGAGCTCCAACACCGCTTGACAGGGAGATCAGCCCGTCACAGATTCCTGGGGTTCTTGGAGGGTGCGGAACCTCGGGGCTTGCTGACTCAAGCACCATGTTGACCACTCCTCCAGGATTGATTTCTCCCATATTCCTTACCCGGTCTGTAGGATCTGCTATCACAAAATGGGTAATAATCCCTTTTTGCACGAAAGGAACCTTTGGGCCTGTAGTCTTGAGGCAGGAAGGCCTTTTTACCTTTGGCTGCTCGTTTAATACAATCATCCAGATTCTTGCCGAATAGCATGTCGCCATGAAAAGGAAGGGAGCACAAGCTGCCTTTGGAGGAGGCATCAGCAGACCATGATCTGAGCCATAGCGCTCTCCTGACCGAAACTGAAAGAGCCATATTTCTGGCTAAGGACCTCACCAGATCCACCGCAGCCTCAGACAAGAAGTCAACAGCCAATTTCAGATCCTTCAGGCTGTCCAGTACAGAGGGACGGCTCCTGCCGTTCTTAATATCCTCCTCAAAATTCTCCATCCAAACCTTAAGCACCCTGGATACTGACATAAGGGCCACTGCTGGGTGCAGGCCAGTACCTAAAGCCACATACACTTTGGAAAGACTGAAGTCCATCTTTCTGTCGATAGGGTCTTTGAAGGAACCCGCATCATCAACAGGCAAAGTGGTATGTTTGGCCTAACCTAACCATCTAACCACGGCCGCATCCACCTTGGGAGCGGAATCCCACGCTTCAGCGTCAAGGTCCTCAAAAGGATACAGTCTGGAAAATCTTCCTTTTACGGAGGATTTTCTGTCCGATTTGGACCATTCCTCCTTAATGAGGTCTTTTATAGTCTCATGGACTGGAAAAGTCGTCCTCTTCCTCCTGAGGTCAGAGAAGTGGCGACTGGATGTGGAAGGCTCATCCTTAGAAGATTCCTTCAAACTGAGAGTCTTGCGGACCCTGGATATCAAATGGTCAATTTCAGCAGGTTCCGGGAAATCTGGAGCTGGAAGCACCTCATCCTCAGCAGAAGAACCCAGATCTTTCAGGAATACCATAGTCATACACTCCACATCAGAGACGTCTGGAGAACACTCCGAAGGTTCCAAACACCTTGGTCGCTTGCGAGACTTCCCAGATTCCTGACTTCCCAGAGCGACTGCTTGTGAAATATACTGCATTATGTAAGGCGCAGGTTGGATGGAGGACTGCCTTTGAGATGGGCCTGCAGCCACAGACAGGCAAGAAAAACATAGACGTTTCCCCTCCAGGGCTCTGTATCACAGGATACACATTGTGTCCTTCTGGGCGACTTCCCTTTGGATGACACTGAAGCTTTAGTCCCATTATAACTGCAGAAATAGGGATAGAACAGTGTATCAGTGATCCGCACTCTTTTAAATACTAGACAAAACAAACCAGAAAAAGCATGGCTTACCTATCAGACTTAGGTTGTGACCTTTTGTGAGGTGGGGAAGAATCAGAATCAGAGGAATTTGAGACTTCCATATCCATCTGCAGAACCAAATGCAAGAAAGAATCTCATATTGAATTCAGAACAAATTGAAGGATACCACTTTAAAAAATAAAAAGACATTTACCTTAATGAAAAGCAGACGAAACGAAAAGCAATGCAACATTCACCAGAATGATTCCCACGAGTGTGAGAACCAGGAGGCTGTAAAATAGGCGTTTGACATCAAACGAAGAGCTTTCACCTGTGTGAATCAGACTACAAAACAGGCGAATTTTCTGACGAATTTACAGGCGAATTTACAGGCGAACGAACGGGCGAACAAGCCATTCATGTGAACAAACAAACGTTCAACAAAATTCGTGCGAATGGCTAAAATTCATGCGAAAAAACGAACACCAAGTGAAAATGAAAGAAAGCAAAGGGACTTACCCCTTCAGAAGGTGGGCGGAAAAGGCAGAGGGAAGCCGGAAACAGGGAGAAGTCCAGACCAGCAAGGTACACGTCCAGGTCTATATTCACCTGCCCACTGCTACCCCTAGGATCACTGCAGCATTAGGGAACCAGACATAACAGCTTGCTACCCCTTGGGTTACAGCAAGTACCAGACAACCGGCCACTAAAGGGGTACTCTCCAGGGGGTCACCTTTGCGCAGTGCCATGTAACTGGAGACTTCCCAATGGAGAGAGGCTGAACTCCCAAAGGGCCAGGGGAACAAATCCCTAGGTAAGCCATAAAAGAAAAATAATAGTTCCAAGGAAAAACACATGTCCTATAGGGATAGGACAGGAACAAAAAGACTGAGGGTGGAGGGGATAGGAGGAGGTACTTATACATTTATTTTAATGAGTTCCTGTCTAATTAGGGATAGGGAGGAGCTACCCATTGTTGTGCTGCCATGGATATGGCCAGGAAAAACAATTTTCATAGAAATTGTGGTACGCATGCAGGATCTATAGTCTATAATACCTCTAATTGTATGTTCAAGTTTTATCTTCAAAGTTGTCAATACTTATTTATAAGTTACACTGTAAAAAAAAATATATATATATTTTTTTTAAAACACTTTGTTGGACTAATAATGTATATATTATTTATATATATATGTATATATTGCTCCTTCCAATGTATATATTGCTGGTCCCTTCCAATGTCTCCTCTCAAATACAACCTTAAGAAATGTCAAACATATGAAGAAGTGGTTCACTCATAGGAGTATGGGTCAATGTAGGTCCTCAAATGGCATCAGTCTTAATTTTTTTAACAATTTTGTTCCATAATTAAAAAAACAAAAAATACACTTACACTTTGAAAAGTACTATCAATCAATGCAAATACAGCAAACATACTACAGACCTCGGTTTACAAATTTAATGCGTTCTCCGGGACGTTTCTTATTGCGAAAAATTTCTAAAACGAAACGCGGTTCCCCATAGGAATGCATTGAAAACCAATTAATCCTTTCTGGAGGTCAGAAAAAAGTCAAAATGAGCTGGCATGGAAACCAACCCACAATGCAGAACACACAATAAAAGGCATGCAACAACGAAACTCAGCTCCCAACCTTTCCACAGCTTGAGAAATGCACCAAAAAGTCCAAAAACAACTGCAAACAATTTCCAGAATGGCTCCAAAACTTGATGCAAAAGCCGCTCCAACACCTCCACACTCGACGCCACGTGCTACCCACAGGCTCCAGCATGCAGGGGGGGTGCTATAAACCTCCCAGGAACAATGCATCCTGGGGAAACTTGCTTTGTATTGCGAAAAAAAAATTGTAAACCAAGGCATTATTTGCAGTGGATTTTCATTTGTAAACGGAAAATTATGTTAACCGAGGTCCCACTGTATATACAACGCCAGAAATTGTAGCCTATTTCACACCCCAACATACCTTCCAATATATATTTTTTAAAGGCATAGGTTTCGATTTGTTTGTTACACAGTTTAAATCTATGTTTAATTAGTTTTTGTCTCTTTAATGGATAATTCAACTCTGTCTACTTTCTTTTTAGGCTCATTCTGTGAGTGAAAGTCTTATTTTGTTATTTTCTTTACATTGAAAATGAGCCACCTGATGTATAAAAGGCTTCCATCTTCCTCTTTACCGAGAACCAAGAACTCTGATTACAGTAGTTTTTTTCATAAGCTTCTTGATAATTTAAAAAATACAATTTTCTGATTTATTGTCTTTCACTTTAGCCAGAAAAAGGAAGAGACAAACAGGTATGTTTGGATAGAAGGAAGTAGGAATTTTATATGCATGTTGTCTAGGAAATGAATGAATTACTTTCTATTAGAGATTAAAATGTTACAAATGCACATGTCCTTAACCAGAGTGGAAAATGTTTTGTTGAACTTTAAACCATTAATACATTTGAAAACATTGATAGGCTACCTATGTCTTCCAAGAGTTAGATTTCCATGAGATATGTAACTTACATTTATGTACATTGTTTATTGTTACATGATATATATATATATTATTGTGATGCATTGTATAATTTTATTATTTGTGCTGAAAATAAGGTCCATGTCACTTTTAAGAGTTTAAGAAAACCAGCCCCACCTTTTTCCATTACTTAAAGGGACTCTTCAGTGCCAGGAAAACAATCTGTTTTCCTGGCACTGCAGGTCCCCTCTCCCTCCCACCTCCCATCCCCGGTTGCTGAAGGTGTGAAAACCCCTTCAGTGACTTACCAGAGGCAGCGGCATGTCCCACATCGATGCTTCTTCCTACGCTTACTCTCCTCCCCTTCATCACGTCAGCCGGCAGGGGAGACCTAATGCAGTTGCAGGGTTAAGGGTAGTGGGAGTTGGCACCCAGACCACTCCAATGGGCAGAAGTGGTCTGGGTGCCTGGAGTGTCCCTTTAAATCGCTTGTGTATTGCTACTGAGCTTGTGTGTTATCGCTTTGTAATAACTGGGTGAACATCAGAGATTTTTCTTTAGAGGATGTTTTTTCTATATGTCAAAACCAAGCCATTTAACATTGCATTTAAATATTTAAATATGACTGTATTTTTGTCTCCTTCTCATTTGTTCTTTTTACAAAACTAATTAATTAGTTCATTATTTAGTTAAATAATTAATGCATTATTTATTAAAAAAATAAAATAAAAAAAAATAAAAATATATATATATATATCTTGATAAAGACCGCTAGACGGTCGAAACGTCGATTTTTTTGTGTGCTATTTGAATACAGTAATTTGATTTACCAAATCCATGGAATGCTCTCATTTTTTGCTTTGTTTATAGTATTTTGCACAGAGAAGCACCTGGTATGTATTATTATTTGGGAAGAGTGCCAGAAATTGTATAGTTTCTATATATATATATATATATATATAAAAATTGAGCAGTACACCCACAGCCCTGGAGTACTAAAGGATACCTATCCATATCCTCTCGATTATCTCCACTCCAAGTCCAAGGATCATAGGATTCATTTTTTTTTTTCTAAAGTCTCAATTCACTTCCTCATAAACATAGTGATAATTTTGCAATTGTTCTCTGTAATGGTTAGAATTTAGTAATAAGTTACCAAGGGATGCCAAATTTTCTATTTTCCCTCTGAACTTTGTGATTATGTTTTATAATTACAGTGTTGACAGTGATACTTCAAATTGAGCAAGATTTTTTTGGACTATGACCAGTGTACCGTTTGAGTTTTATAGCAGGACCAGGATTGGCTGAGAGATTTCAGATGCTTTTTATCTGACAAGATAGCATTTTGAATTGCTAGGTGTGCTGTAAGTCAGGCTCCCCAAACTCTGGCCCTCCAGATGTTGCTAAACTACAACTCCCATGATTCAATGAATGAAATAGGCTGAGAATCATGGGAGTTATAGTTCAGCAACATCTGAAGGGCCAGAGTTTGGGAAAGCCTGCTTTAAGTGCATGAATGTCAAAGGTGAGTGCCGTATATGAATTTAAATGTATTTTTAACTGAGTTTTGAACTCTTTTTATTTTTTTTATTTTTTTTTTACTTTTAATGTCATATTTTTCTAGTATTCGGTATATTTATCTATATCACGGCAAAAATGCATCATGTATGAGAACTTAATTCACGTGAGCTGCAATTTTGGCCTTTACGCCCTTATTCTGGAGTTTTAAATATTCGTGCAATTTAGGGTTAACGATCATTCAGGCATCCAGTGCATTCAGACAATAATTGTTCAGGAGTAATGTGCTGACATGCCAATCTAAATTTAACATGGCAATTAAACATATGATGTTGCAGGCACATGCCACGTCCTTAAATGCTAAATCTAAAACTAACAGACTATTAAACTGCTAACATAACTTTATTTTATTTTTTTGTGGCAATTTAAAATAATTTTCTAAATAAAACCCACAGAGGAAACATTATAATTACAACATTTCCAGGTTTTCATGAAGTCAGCTGGTCATTTGCAAAATGTACTCATTCAATGCTTGATTACTGAAGAAAATGTTTATAGGGAACACTGTTGATTATCATACCAAAATATTATGGTGATGAGCACCTTTTTCAGGTAAGTGTCCAGGCTGCCCAATTCATGCCCATATTCTGCTTAGTCTCTATCTTACTCTCATTGATGGTGTAATCAATAAGGATGCAAGGCCACAGAAGGCCCTGGGTGAATGTAGTGGCCCATTTACTATTCATTAAGTTTTATTGCTGCAAAGTTCTGTTAATACACTCTTAAAGGCCAAACATGTTGAGTCCCTAGAAACCAAATTACATAGGATAAGAAGGAGGCATAGATAGATTTGGGCCTGCATATGGACAGTCCCTGCTGAAGAGAAAAACGTACAGGGTTATTTACTGAAGTAAGAATTATTTAAAAAAAAAACAAAAAAAAAAACCTGTAGTACAAAGTAATGAATAATGTGTACAGAAGCAACACATTCAAATATTTTCTGCCTTTAATTATAGTGATGCCACTAAAAGAAATACACACTGTTACTCCTCACATTTAATGCAAGTGAATATTTACTGAAAAACAAATGGTCCCTTATTCTAAAAGAGATTGTTGGGTATATTTATACATTCAAGGAGCAATTGCAGGAAAAACCATAGGAATTGTGGGAAACTGACAACAGAACTAAAAGGTTTAGGCCAAAATAGTCAAGCTGGGAAAATTCTCCATCACAAATATTTTTTCAGTCAGACTTTTGGTCTAAAATTTCTTGGTTAGTTCTTCCCTATTTCTGATTTAGTGAATAAACATGTTAAAATGTTAAAACATAAAATATCACTCAGAGCCACATCTATGTAAATGTTTTTGTAAATAATACAGGGTTAATTTGCAATCTAGCATCTGTAACCAATTGATAAAATTTTGTGACCTTTGACTGGAATCATAGGACTGTTTTCAAAGCAATTACAATCCAAATTTAATGGACAATTTTAGTGCCAAGAAAACTAGTAAGCATTATTAAAGGACACTGTGGTCACCGGAATAACTACAGCTTAATGTAGTTGTTCTGGTGAGTATTGTCAATGCCTGCAGGCTTTTTGCTGTAAACACTCCTCATATGGCCATTAGAGGTGCTTCCTGGGTCTCAGTGTCTCCACCCTCTGCATGGAGACAGTGAACTGATTGGCCAGGGTGGTGTTTGACTCCTCTGCCAGCCTGCCCCCTTGGCTGACATCATCAGAATTAACTAT